TTAAAAACGTGAAATATATTTTAAAAAATTATGTCTAAACAGATTTTTATCTTTCACCAAAATCAAAGTTTTAAACAAATTTGAGAATATATAGTCAAACGCTAACTAAATGGTAGTATCTATTATGACAATGACATATGTACATGCAGTCCCCATAACAATAAATAATGACATATGTTACATGCAGTCCCCATAACAATAAATTGCGTAATCAAACAATACACATCTACAAGTTTTCAACTGTTTTTTTTTTTCTGGGCATGAGTTTATTACATCCAACGGAAGCTAAAATTGTGTGTTGCTTAGTGCTATTTTTGGTAAAAAACATTTACCCCTTTCTCTTAGATTTTTTCACAAAAAGTAAATGGTCCAGTTAGTCATATGGACAACCATGGGTGGAACTTAGGGCTGGTTATCGGGTGGATTGAGCGGTTATTTACTCTTAATGGTTTGGCTTAACGGTTATCGACTTTTAAATGTGTTAATCCGCTAGTCACCCGATAAGATATCGTATCGGGCGGTTTATCAGCCTAATTCAGCTTATATTGTACGCTACAGAAAAATGACAATAGAATGGGATATAGTAGCAAGATAACCTTTTGGGGGCATTTGCAGCAATTTAAGGGCATAAATTCGAAGGTAGATGATATCATTGGCAAGATTTAAGACTTCATGTTAACTAGACAGTACAATTTATCCATACAGATCAGATGATTCTTCTCTGTTTGTTGTGGAAGCTTATCGTTTCTCCATAATCACGAGCATATACTAAAACAATATAATTTAATGTTAAAGTAGAGACCACAAGTTAAGATAAAACTTCCTATTTGTGAATTCATAATTCCAAATTAATAAGAATTGAAGAATAAAATATTATGCAGTGCACAAAAGAACATATCGGAATGTAAAAAAAAAAAACATCTTCATAGTTCATACTTTCACATTTTCCCTTACCTTTATATATATATATTCTTAACGAGTTAACGGATTATCCATTAAGAAAATTGAATAATCCGCCCCAAACCGATAAGCCGTTAATAAAAAAATTTCAATATGTTCCCCGCCCGTTAATCCGTTACCAGTAAGCTATTAAGCTTCGATTCGGTTCGATTTTCGGTTTCGGATCGGTTTTGAAAACCTCTAGTGGAATTAGAGGGGCGCAATAGGGTTATCCAAACTTTCTCGTCGAAAATTATACTGAAATATATATATATATATATAAAGAATCCCTTGATTTTTTTACGTGTTTACTTTTGTATTTTGAAAATCTCCTTAATAAAGTTTTTGCCTTCGCCACTAAAGACCACCACCTTAAGTTCCAAAGGAAAAAAGAGAAATGAAAGAAGGAATCTCCATCCCTTTCTGTAAGGAATGGTCACGAGCACTAGCAGGACCAAATGGGCCCGTTGATATGGACATGCTTATCGCCTGGGCGAGCGTAATAATGACAAGTTGTACGTAGCAAAGATTTTAGGGAGTCGTTGGTATAATGGTAGAATATTTCATGCCATAAGTTATCTCATTTTTTACGTGGAATAACTAATTCCATCATTTTAATGTAAAAGTTACTTCGTGATTAGCTAATATTCCAAGTCAAACATGGAATAAAGTTAATCTCAAATCTTATTTTGGGATTATTATTCTTAGGGAAACTTACACAAATACTCCAAATAAATCTCAACTTACCAACTTACTAAAACTAGCCAACAAAAATTGAAAAACCAAATAATAGGGTTCTTTCTCTTAAAGAATCACATGCAAAAATCACCTTTCATATTTTTAAGCGTGATTAGCAACACTAGATACAAGATGGAAAGAAAATTTCACGGATGAGGTAGCAAATAAGGTGATGAAATACAAAAATATATACAATATTCCAAAAATCTAAACAAAAAATGGAACTTTTTCAACGGGTATAGTTGAAATTCATTGAAAATATATAGATAAGTCAATATACAAAATTTGAGGAAGATTGGAGGTGATTTGGACTGGTTTTGTATCAAAATTCGTAATTAAATGAGTTCAAAAAAGTCTTCTGCGACACATGTATCAAACATGTATCACACATGTATCTCACACACAGGTATACATGGATATACATGTGATACATAATTGATACAAATATGATACATATGTGATATACAAATGATACACAGTGTGATACACATATCATTATTTTTCATGTTCAGTTTTTACTTCGAATTTTCAATTCAAACCACCTCAAAACTTCACCAAATCATCCCAAAACTGAGATTCAAGCTCCTTTAAGTTGTGCTAAATCTATTCTAATAGCACCCACTTAAAACAAAGCAAAAATTTGATATTTTTTTGCTACAAATAGCTAATTGGCTAATTTGGCTAATATTAGTAATATTTTATTAATTGATCAATTTTTGTAATGAGCTACTTATAAATAGACATAGCTGGTAATTTCCCTTATTCTTATCCCATATATCAAATGACCCCTAAGAGTGTTAATCAGAGGCGGAACTACATCAAGTGTAGAGGGGTTATTGGAACCCGATAGCCTCGGCAAAAATCATGTATATATATTATATATACATGATTTTATTGTGCCCCTCAAACAGAAAAGCTGGATGGCTGTGTTGGTTTAATAAGGAGCATGAGCTTCTTTCCCACACCTTCTGACCCAAGATTGAAACCCAACATCAACAGCGCATACTGGGCCCGCCTCTGGTTCTGACGATATTCTATTCGTGTGATTCAGTTGATTATAGCAATGCTATTACTCTATTTTTAAGTTATCATATCAAACTTGATATCATATTACTTATTGTTGTAAGTCAAGTTAACTAAATATAAAACAGAAAAGTTCTTTTCAATGTTTTTGTAAAGTTATTTAGTGTCACGATCCAATCCCCGAACCCGATCATGATAGCGCCTCTCGTGAAGACAAGGCTAGCCAGATCAAAATAGAACACCTCTTTTAAACAATTAATCATCATAAACAGTAATAACATATAACATAACACTCATAAATTGCGGAAGTTTAACGTTAACAACAGCAGGAACCATCCCGACACAGCCCAAACCGGGGTGTCACAAGTCATGAGCAACTAAGAAGTCCGGATACAAGTCTACTGAACACAAAATCCGATACAATAGTTCAGGAAAAAAAAACATGGAAATGATAGGATAAGGGAGGCACGGGGCTGCTAACGCCAACAACTACCTCGTAGTCTCCAAATCACTGCCTGGACTGGGAGAAATCAGCACTCAGGAGCGGACTCTGCGATGCCTGAATCTGCACACATGGTGCAGGGAGTAATGTGAGTACTCCGACTCAGTGAATAACAATTATAAATAATGGCTGAAAGTATGAAAACACATAAAGACACAAAACAATTCCATATTAAGCAGTAAAACCACTTAAAGCAGTAAATCAGTAAAGAATCAAATGATATCCCCTTTTAAAACAAGTAAAACAGGTAATTTAACAGGTAAATAACAAGTAGAAATCCGCCCCTCGGGCACAGTATCAATCGCTCAG